TCTCTCTCTAGGGTTCCAAACCCCTCCTAAACCCTAGATAAGGCCTCTAGCACCCTAAGGAATCCCCGAGGCTCCCGGAGTCCGAAGAAAAAGAGCCTTTCGGTTTCGAAACGCGCTCCAATTAAGTTCCGGTTTTCAATAAAATTCGTTGTTTTACCGAAGGAAAATCATTTTGAGAGTATCGAAGCGCTGTCCGAGTGCTGAGTCACCACCTTTCAAGTGAGTGCATAGTCCCTTTCATGAACATGATTTTAATATAAGTATTGATTGAAGTATTAATTATATGTTTATGTGCGAGTTAATTGATGTTTCCTGAAATACGTGTTAAAGAACATACTTGATTATATTTGATAATTTAGGATAAAGAGTAGACCTAAATTAATTATGAGGAATATTGGGTAGTATTTTCTTACGAGTACAAGTGAGTTATACTCAGAGAATAGAAATTTAGTATATGTCATTCATCCAGGAGCATGGATTAGACACAATCATTGTCCCTAGTTCGAGAGTATGGATTGGACATAGTCAATTGTCATTAATTCGAGGGTATGGATTAAGACATAGTCAGTTGTCCTTAGTCCGGGAGTATGGATTAAGACATAGTCAGTTGTCCTTAGTCCGGGAGTATGGAGTAAGACATAGTCATCCGTCCTTAGTCCGGGAGTATGGATTAAGACATATTCATCCATCCCTAGTCCGAGAGTATGGATTAGTTATAATTCTTTGTCATTAATTCGAGAGTATGGATTAGACATTCATCCCTAGTCCGAGAGTATGGATTAGGTAAAGTCGTTCATTTCTGATCCAGGAGTATGGATTAGGTAAAACGACTAATCTTAGGTCCGAGAGTATGGATAGTCTCGTTGTGAGGATCGATGGGGTGGAATAAGAGTTATTTATATATACGGTGAAATTGTATATTTTGTGAGTTTTAAACTATATATATATATGATATAACATTGTGGGATTGAAATCCCTATGTACTCACCGGGTTTCCCAACCTGACCCACTCAGTTTATTTATATGACAGGTGTTGATATGAAGTCACATTACACTGAGAGATTAAAGAGATGTAGATCACTAGTGTAAATAAATGTAAGTTCCGTTTATGCTTATGTTCCTGTATTGACAATGACATCCCAAACGTTTTAAAATGAATAAAATACGTTTCTTCGAAAATGTTTTGATAACGTATTTATCGTGTTTTTCTGGGAACAAATTCCGCAACATTTTTATGAAAAGAAGTACTCTGATTTTTATAAAGCATAAAAAAAATCGGTCTTTTCTGGCCGTGAAAAATGGGGATGTCACAATTATCACTAGTAATGTCCTTTCATTTCCAAGGTAGGCATACTTCAGGTGTTCAGGAAGGGTCTTCAAGTCAAGTATCGGTAGTTATACTACAAAAGGAAGAACTTTTGGGTTGGAATTTATGAACTTCAAGCAGGGTGGTTTAACTCTTATAGCTTGCCCATTTCCAAGGAGTTAATCATTAATCAACTCATCCTATAAAGTATACTTCCCATCCAAGTTTTGAACCCTATCTCATCAATGTGCTTGCTCAAGATGGTGGTTAGCACATCTTGGCTAGACAACTCAAAAAAATCATTAATACATGGGTCAATAATATTTATGATATTTAAGGAATGAATATCACTAGGGTAACACATAGCTTCAAAGATGTTAAAGTTGATCACATCGCCATCAAATTTCATAGACGAAGTACCATTAGCAATATCTGTATTTGTATTTGCGGTATTCATGAGGGATCTTCCCAAAAGTATGGAACTAGATTGCAGGGTGTTTTAATTACCCATATCCAAGACATAGAAATCAGCAGAAAATATAAGTTCATTAACTTGCACTAACACTTCATCTAATAAACCTTTTGGGTGTACTAAATACTTTTCGGCAAGTTGTATTATAACTATGGTTTTGGTTAAAGGTCCAATTCCAATTATTTTGTAACCTACATTAACACGTCCTCTAATACACCTTTTCTTCCTCCTCTTTAATTGGCATTCTTCGGCCATTATAGTTTTTTCCAACTCTCAAGGTAATAGCACATGCAGTGTGTGACATCCCCATTTTCACGGCCAGAAAAGACCGATTTAGTAATGCTTATATCATTTAAGAGTATCCTTTTTAAAGAATTATAATGCGGAATTTGTTCCCAATAACATGATAATATTATTACGCATTTCATTAATAATTTCAAGATGTCATCGTCAATACAGAAACATAAGTATAACGAAAATATTACAAGCCTTACAATATCTAATGGAATATATTTCCTTTAATCTCTCATCATATCTAAACATCAAGTACCTTTGTATCGATACATGTAATACAAAGAAACTGAGTTGGTCAAGTTGGGAAACATGGTGACTACATAGGGATTTCAATCCCACAATGTTATAATATATATATATATATATATATATATATATATAATTAAAACCTGCAAGATCAAATATGTCGCATATACGCAATCTACCCCATCATGTGGATCCTCGCATTTCAATCATATACAACGACATAATCCATACTCTCGGATTTGGAAATGAATGACATTACCTAATCAATACTCTTAGATCAAGAGTAAATAATTATATTTAATCCATACTCTTGAATCTCGAATGAATAACTGAGTCTAATCCATACTCTCGGATTAGTGACGAATAACTATGCCTAATCCATACTCTCATACCAGGGACGAATGATTATGCCTAGTCCATACTCTCAGACAAGGGATGTCAGAATTCTACTCTCTGTTCATGTATTGTATGTACTCTTAAGAAGATGCTACACATTAACTTAATTAGACTTAATCCTCTTTTGTAGGTCTTTATCTTATCTCTTAGTAAGACTACAATGCTTAACTCCTAGCATCAAATCTGTTCAGACAAAACTATCGTACTTCAGTGTATACTTAGTATTTAGGTATTAACAAACTTTTATCCTTCTCTCTAATGATACTTGTATTATTAATATCATGAAATAATATATATATATATATATATATATATATATATATATATATATATATTGTAACATATATAGAACCATACTTGGTTCTCACAACATATAGTATCAAATACATTCTTAACACATATTCCAAGAATTAAGCATATATTTCACATATAAACTCTTTAAGTAATGTTCATGAAAGGGACAATGCGCTCACTTGTTAAAGTGGATGACTGGAAATTTGGAAAGCATTTTGCTTCAGCACTTGACTTTTCCTTTGAAGTGAACTAGGTTCAATTATCACTAACTCTTAGTTTATTATCTCTTATGACTAATTAATTGTCTAGATTCTTCAACAATTCCAATGTCTACTGATCTATAGCTAATAAGAGACAACCGGGTAGGATGATATCGGAGGTAGGATCCATTTGGTATACAGAATATACTGTTTGTAAATCCCACTTTGAACACCTCACTAAATCCAACCTAGACATCATCCCCGTTAATAGATCAATCAGTAATATGACGTTGAAACCACTGACAAATCTTATTTATAAATTCATAATGACTATGAATTTAAATATAAATTACACTAAAAAAGCAATAGTGTAATTTAACTTATAGAGATTCCGTAGACAAAAGTCTGGACATTACACTGACAAAGTTTTTACTCGATGGCGAATATTTGTCGGGTACTCAAGTCGAGGAATATCGAGAGAGAAGGCGTATAGGTGTGAGATATGAGAAGCATATATGGAGGTGGGTATTTATAGCCCGAAAAAACAATGTGCACCACACACTATGTCGAAGGTGGTGACGTAGCGTTCATCTAGTGGTGACACATGTCACAATCTCATGGTTTGTCAATGTGCGTCACGCATCTTGTCTGTGAGGGCCTCTGCATAGATTTTTATAAAATCTTAGAAAACTCATATCTTCTTCATACGAGCTCCATTTTCGATGGGTATCTCTACTAGAAAAACAGTCTTTTACGACACGCAATGCGTGTCGTAAAATGCTCAGACGACGCGCAAATGCATGTCAACAAAGGCCCTGTCATAACAAGAGGACGACACGCTTTTGCATGTCGTCTATAAACGACGCGCAATGCATATCAACGAAACCCCTGTCATAAAGGAAAACGACACGCATTTGCGTGTCATAACCTTACAATGCACATTTATGACACGCATTGCGTATCATTAAAGCCCCTATCATAAATGAAGATGACACGCATTTGTGTGTCATAAACTTCAACAACCATTTTTCGATATGCATTTACGACGTGCCTTTATGATATTCATTTACACATAATAGAAAAATATGGAAACAAATATATACCAAAATAATCAATTTGATCCAATAACATCATGTCCAACAAGTTATCAAAAATTGAAATACATTGATATTAATCTGATAGTACATTGTTATTAAGGGGTTTTCCCTAACTATATAACCTGATACTACATCCCTAACTATATAACCTGATCCTCATGTCATTGGTTTGACACCTGGTGTACCATGTAAAAATGTTGAACTTGGTGTCATGGGCGGCTGACCACCAGGTGTGGCTAGAAAGTAATTACTTGCTAATAAGATAACAATGCTTTAATCCAAGACGAGTCAAGAATGCTTAAGAAAAAGAATCAACTAAACAAGCAAAATCTTGATTGGATTTTTGTTAGTGTAAGAAGTGAAAGGTACAACCCTTTAGATGGCAGCTAGTATCCCAAGTGTGAGGTGTGGAGGCATGTGATCCATTGTCACCTAAAACAAAAAAATCTTGAGTTAGAAACAAACTTCACCTTTATTTATTAGTTTCCCCTCCACCACTGTAGGCATGCTTCATATGACCGATACCTCCTTTGAAGGACCCATACAGAGGCCTTGATCTCCTGAAACTGAAAGCATCTTTAATATTTACAATTTTGCCCTCGTCTGCACCTTCTATGTCCTCTGTAGCATGTGTGGTCGAGAAGACTTGCACACTTAAAGCCTTCTTTTGTGGAGCACCCACTTTTATATGTTCATCAAAAAATTGGATCATTTCTGCCTTGCTCAACTGCTTCAATGCAGCCACCTGTCTCACTTGACTCGATATGTTTAGGGCCCTGTTAAATCCAAGAAACAGGATTAGTATCAATGAATGTGACTGTAAAAATTTGTCATATACTGAATTTTCTCTCTTGGTTTTTTTTTCGTATTGGAGTTTTCCACGTATATTTCCATGTTCTTATTTCTTTATCATCTTTCATTAGGCAAACAGTTAGAAATCATTGAGACCATTTTCCCAACATTAGTCAAGTCATACATCATACAAACAAATAAAAAACACGACAAATTGCCCACCTTTACTGTAGATTGTATGACGAACTGCACTCCACAGATGCGAGAATCATTCCTAATATTATTCAATTTCATAAATATTGATTCTCATTAAAAATCCAAAATGAGATTTGGGTCGTTTATAAAAAATATATAGAACAAGTGCAAGTGTTTCATATACCTCTGCATAAGCACAGTGATGTAACCAGGTTGCTCAACTGATCTAAGTTGGTGAAAGGCTGGTTGTTTAGCAATAAGAGAAACCAGCTGAAGTTTGATATTCAACTTAAAATCATCCTGATGTACATGTATATATTATATACACCATACCACAATTAACAATTTCATTCATCATTATATCTTATGATACTTGAAAAAATATGCTTACCTGAATGTAGTGAAGAAGAGCTGAATTTTCATCACTTGGATTCAGACCCTCTTTAGTATAGCAATATATAACACCCTTTTCTAAGTTGACCACCCTATTTGTCAAATGCTGTGATGGGAATAGAGCTTGAGACAAAGGTTTTGTCCCCATAAAAAGTACATCTTCAACTTGTTGAATCATGAATTCAGCTTCATTTGATTCAATATTCTCTGGTTGTTGTATAGCTTTAGATAACAAAAGAAGAAAAAAAAACATAACTGGAATATATAGTAATGGTATAAAAACCTGCTGCATAGCACTCTATGAAGATTATTGACAAAATTTCAGGATAAAATCTTGAAAGATGTTCAGGTTCAAGAACAGAAAGAACTTCAAGCTCATCATGTCCAATGCCATGATCCATCTTTTACAAGTAATGAGCAGTTATACAAGGCCTGCTGATATGGATGTTGAAACTTGTAATTTTCATATTCTTTCATCACCAGTTCCTATAAAAAAAGACAAGTAATTACACATACATAAGTAACAATATAAAGTCTTCGACATAACATAAGTAGCAATCCCTTTTTTTACCTTGATCACATAGAACCTGTCCGCTTTTACATGTGATATTATAAATAATTCTGATTACAAAGTCAAACACATGTAAAGAAAAGTCAAAAGTAATACCTGAATGGTGGAGCCAGTGATTTTTTCAACAGAGAATGCAGTTCCATACCATGGCTCTGTTAGCTCAGTATGTCCATCAAAGTTTGTTGACTCCCAAAAGATTCTGGAAACAGAAGGGCATAATTGAGAAATCATCACATAAATTTAGCCAACACTAACAAACTCATTGATAGATGATATGCTACCTGACATTGTTTGGTGTGAGCTCATTTAGTGCAGACTGAATAACTTCAGGGGAAAAAGTGGAAGGTAAAGATGATCCAACCTAATATATGTCATTTCATATAATATAATCTTGAAAATGTATCTTACTTATAACAGAGCGAAGCATCAAGGCAAGGCCATGAGGAAATGATCATATATAAGCAAACCTGTAATGATTACAAAAATAAATATAGGAAGATGATCACATATATGCAAACACAGTGACTGTGTACTGAAATCTTGTAATGATTAAAAAAATACGAACTTGAGACTAAAAATGAAAACAAAATGACAAACCCCATCTCTCTTTGAAATCTTGAATTGACTCAATAGCTAGAAAAATAAAATTAAAATTGATCAAAATTCATCGGTACTCAAGAACAAAAAGTTCTCAGGTTTTAAGTCTCAATGGAACACTCCCATCGTATGACAATCATGCACCCCCGTCACCATCTGCCGGCAGAGGCCAGCTGCCGCACGCTCTTAATAATGTCCCTTAGCTATAATCCGATCAGCTAGCTCCCCACCGGCGCTCAACTCCATGATTAGGTTTACAGAGTGCTGATCCTAGTAATTTGGAAGATAGATGGTGATGGGGAAGAACGGTCATCTTTCATTAGAAGTCGACGGCGGTGGGAGACACTCAGAAGGGTCGAAGAATCAGCAGATGGCGGAAGGTGAATGGAGGTTTGAGAATCGAGAGAGAAAATAGAAAGAAAGAAAGGGGGTTTTCGGCGGGGATGACCTAGGGTTTTCAGCCGGTGGAAACAAAGCGGGCTTTTAATTTTTGGATTTCATTTCCCCCTCGAATGAAACGCGCATTTCATTAAAATTTATAAATCGACATGGTTAAACGACACACATTTTATTTAAGATGCCCTCCGTGTTTTTTTTATTAGACACTAATTTTAGGGCACGCAAAAATGCGTATCCTTTATGCTTTATATCTTGGAAAACTGACATCAATATTTAGGGCACTTACAAATGCGTGTCCTCTATCAGCGCGTGTCATTGATTGGGCGTCGTAAAAGGCTATTTTTCTAGTAGTGTATTATATCCAAGTGTAGCTTTCAACGAGATCTACAACTTTCGTTTAGACTTCGTCGGCTAATTTTGACTTTATTTTTAAAGTTATATTTTTAATAGACTTAGACTTTTAAAGTCCGTTAAAAATTCATAACTCTCTCATCCGACATTTATTCTCGACTGCTTTCGATGAGTTTTATATCCACGTGTAGCTATCGACGAGGTCTACAACTTTTATTCAGACTTCGTTGACTAATTTTGACTTTATTTTTAAAGTTATATTTTTAATAGGCTTAGACTATTAAAGTCTGTTAAAAATTCATAACTCTCTCGTCCGACGACCGTTCTCGACTGTCTTTATATCGACAGACTCCTATTAACGACATCTTTGATTCTCGTTTAGATTGTTTCTCTTAATAATCGGTTGATCTTAATTTAAGTTTTTGAGCTCTATACTGCTACGCTGAAGCTTCGAAAAATCATAACTTCCTCTCACGAAGTTAGATTCGGACGTTCTTTATATGTACACTCTCAGTTTAACGACTACTACGACTTTTATTTAGATCTCTTAGGATATAATGTAATTCATCAAAAATTCACTTTTTACGATATGCAAAGTCGTACCAGTTTAATCGTGAAACTTCGAAGAAGCATAACTTCTTCACACGAAGTCGGATTTCAATGTTCTTTATATGTACGAAATCCTTGTCACATATATTATAACTTTGTTTAAGATTATTTATGCTAAATAACCTCCTATCAAAAAGTCATTTTTAACACTTAATAAATCTTAATTGACTAGCCCGAATCTGCATGTGTTACAATTATCTCCCCCTTAAAAGGATTATGCCCCGCAATCATCAGCAAAACAAGGTTCGTATAATGACTCCGCACGTTACCTTTCCCCACTTGGCAATAACCGTAACTCTTATGTCTTTTCTACTGAGTATCTAACTTTATGACTTTTTGACTGTCGGCGGTGCTTAATCTTGCCCCGTTCTTTATCCTATATTAGACTTTCAATCGTAATCTTCGAGTTATAAACTTGATCCTTATTGGAGACTCTTGCTCCTTCTTAAGCACATTGAACCCTAGATAAGGTCTTTACTTTACCTACTGTAACAGACCGATAGGTCGTGTATCTAATGACCTTTCATCATATGATGCCATGGCTAGACTCATGTCTTTTTGAGTCAGACTCCAACGTAGATGATACCTTTCTTCATGTTCTACGTCGAACATGGTTCTCTGAACTAATAAACTTATCTCGCAGGCTTATTCTCAAGTCAAACTCGATTTGTTATGACCACTAGGGTCAGAATAAACGTTATCTTCGTAGTCATTATCAAAACGATGGTAATGACGAAAACAAACGAAACAAACTCAACTACTAATGCCTTATTAACATTGTGACTTTCCCTGATCCAAGTGAGAGTCATGTGCTTCCGGTAGTATACACATTTACTACCTTTCACACCTACTCATACTTGTCCCAAGTATTGTCGCAGTTCACCAAGTCATCACACTAGAAAATCATATAGCAATTCAGCACATCGGGTATGTAACATATTAAAGGATTATATCATTTCTTGAAAATGATTACAAGATTTATTTATACTATATGGCCATTACATTAGGCTACACAGGATAATACTACTTATTTATTTCCTTCCCTCAAGTACTCCAAACAAGCAACTCGAAATTACATCCTCTTGCTTCCTCATCAAGTATCGTGTGGCATGCTCTGGCCTTTGGTAGGGATGTAAGTGAGACAAGCCAACTCGCGAAAAACTCGAGATCGACTCGAAAATACTCGAAATCGAATCAACTTTAATCGAGCCGAGCTCCAGCTCGAGCTACTCGAGTACCTTATCGAGCCGAGCTTGAGTACTAAAATACTCTGCTCATAAAGCTCGCAAGCTTAATCGAGCTTAGTGTAATTTATATATATGTCATTTTCTTATAATTATTTATTTATACCAGAAATCTAAAAAAAATAATAAATAAGTAAATTCTTTTGTGTCCCTTGAATTCTCAATCCGTCCCAATCCCAAAGACCCTGAGTCAGAAACCAAAATCCCCAATTATCATTTACACACACACACAAAAAAAAAAAAAAAAAAAAAAAAAAAAAAAAAAAACCCTTACGATTGGCTTATTCATCAATCATCGTTCCTTCACAGTTCACAAATCGCCGCCACCTCTAATCCTCCACTTACCGGTCGCCGCTACATTCTGCACCATCCCCACATGTCGCCACTCCAAGTAACATCTGTACATCTCTATTCTCTAATCGTCGGCCTCCACTTCACCGAACGTTGCTGAGAAGTGAGAATGTTAGATTTTTTGTCGTCTTTGACTACAAAATCAACATTGAAACTATGAGTATAGATTACTTCATTTTGTTGTTATTGAGACCAATTCTTTTGATGAGATGAGCTTTTGAGGCTAGTGTTACTGAGCAGTGGCATGATTTCCCTCCTAGTTGCACACAATCATGATGTAGATTTTTTTAGTTGTTTTTTAGAATAATATGCAGTTTAATGTTCTATTTAACAAAAAAATAAAGATATAATCATCACTCCAACAATGTTCTAGTAAAAACAAGAATTTTAATTTTGTAAACATGAACACATATTGTTGTTTTAGTTGTTTCAGATGGTATTTTAATGGAGTGTACAGCTGATATCATTGACTTTGATTTGATTTGTTTCCATAATACCAAATAGTTCATTGTGTGGCTGTTTATAATTTTGGTTTTAATTATACAGCAAGGTATAATGTGAGGTCATTTTGCAAGGTGTATTTGAAGTTTAATGTATTTTTTGTGATAACTTTTCTGTCCTTTATGTCTTACTTTTGTGTCTGATTTGCAGATGGAATCAAGCACACCTTTTGAAATCGCTCAATTTGTAAGAGCAATTGAAAATATATAACTACAAAAATCTGATTTAGATAATCATCTTGAAGAGGGTTGTTATATTGGTGGTGGAGATTGGTGTCGAAGTAACAATGGAGATCAATTGTTTCTCACCACCTTTAATGTGTTTTTGTAATTTCAGTTATATTGATTGCTCTTGTGTTCATACATTTCAGAAAGAGAAGCAACAAATGGAGATCAGTCTTCACATTCCATGATAAGTAAGGTTATTTAAAATGTTGAAAACTTGATTCTTTTTCTGTACTTTTTTTTTGCTGTTTTTGACAGTTTTTTTTACTGATTTTTTGACCCTTTTTTTTTTTTTTTTTTTTTTTTTTTTTTGCTGTTTATGATGTTGTTTTTAGGTTAAATAAGTGTTAAAAAATCGTTTCAAGAGGTAGAAGAGGCTAAACTATTTTGGTGCTGAGTTGATACATTTTTGATGTTTTAAAAGTTGTTTTGCATTGAAAAATGTTTATATTTTGTATTTTGAAAGTATGCAAAAACCACATAGATGCTTGAATGGTTGATTTTATTTCGAATTAAAGAATGTTTATTTTTTGTATTTTGGAATTATGTAAAAGTTATGACATATATGGACTATGGTTGATATTATATTGATATTAGGCGGTTAATTGTGATTTTTTTTGTAGTTTGGATGTTTGTATAACGAATGTTGTAATATTTCTTACTCAATTTACTGATTTAATATATATATCTATATATATATATATATATATATATATATATATATATATATATATATATATTAGTTGAGCCGAGCCGAGTCGAGCTCGAGACAATCGAGTATTTCACGAGCCTGAACTTGAGTTTAAAACCAAGGCTCGAGTCGATTTCGAGCCGAGCTTCGAACTCGAGTATTTTAGTCGAGTCGAGCTTCGAACATTGTAGTACTCGGCTCGACTCGTTTACACCCCTAACCTTTGGCTTTGACGGCACATTTGTCTTTGTAGTCCCTTCCTTCGGGAAGTCCTGCTTGAAGTGTCATTCTTCACCACACTTAAAGCAAAAAAAAAAATCTTGGTCGGGCATTCATTGGCATAATGACTTGTCTTCCCACATTTGATGCACTCTTAGGGACTCACACATATATTAAAAAAATCTAGAAGCCAATTTGTTGTTGTAATAAATACTATGTTGTCGGCCTACTCTAAATTTAGGTATTTGAAATATGCAATACAACTTAGATAAATTTGAAGACACGCCATCTGATATCTACTTCTGGAATTACTCAGTCAAACAGTGTGTATGTAACTCATGGATTGGTGGATGAAGCGGTTAAACTTTTAGAGCAATCGCCATATGGAGTCTAGACGAAATTACATTGTTATCACTTTTGGATGTTTTTGGTTGTACGGAGCAGATAGAGAAAGTAGTAGAAGTATATACAAGTATGTTTAAAAGACATAGGTTCCTACAAAGCTCGAAGCATTTTGTTTGTTTGGTAGATGCTATATGCAGATCTAGCAAGTTTGACAATGCAGCTTAATTCATTTAATCAGTAAAGACTCGTGATCGTGATGTATTTTGGAGAACACTACCTATTTAGGGTGACATCTATGATGATGTTGAAGTTGGCTTTTGGGACTTGGATAACATTTCTAACTTGAATGTTGAACATTTTAGGACTATATGACACTTATTCTTCAAGATGTAAAGATACTTAGACCAATAAGAGAACGGTGAACGCCCATGGAGCAGCATTCGAACATGGATGAGTTATGATGAATACAAACAAGTCAACACCTAAATGGCTTTTGATCCGATGTGGTACCACAAAGAGTCTTTACACGATGGCTAATCTGAGAAAAGTTAATACCACCATGTAACTTGGGTACATCATTTCATCATCAAAACTTTAGTAATATATTCGATAGTATGTGTACAAATGGCTCTCAATGTAGCATAAGAGTAACACGTGACCGATTAAACCAACTTTTGTTAAGTAATGAAGCTTTTGTGGAGGAAGGACTAAACCGGGAACAAAAACAACCATTGCTAAAATGACATCATCAAATATAAGCTTACAGAAGGTTTTAATGACA